ATAATAAAAAAAGTATAAAACATAAATCATGTCATATACACAAGTTTTAAAACAAAATAAAACTTCAGATAGGAATAGGATCTGGGTTTTTATTCATTATGATCGAAATTTCAAGATATTGATATAAATGAACAAACTTTTTTTCTTTTGTCATAAATCTGTGTTCTGCCACAGACTGGGACATCACTGAAAAGTGAAAAGATACTGGATATTGTGTACATATGTGGCTGGTGGGTGTACATGTATGTGTAACCAGAGGCAGATACAGGGGTTTTTTCTTGGGTTACTGGAAACCGCTCAGAACTTCCCATTAAAAAAAAAAATTCTTGGCATGTTTGCAGAAGTATGTAAGACTAATAATTCCCATCGTGTTACCAGTTTCCCTCAATACTTGACAGGTTCCAAAGAGGTCTTTCAATATTACCTCCCAATGGCATTAAAAGTAGCTATCTAAATTATCTGATCTACTTGGATAAACAACAAGTGAGCTACTTGACTGACATGAATATTGGACAACATATCCAAAGGGCCTAGGCAACAGGAAAGTTTTGAAATCATTGTTGTTATCATTGTTGATACATGTATCAAGATATCTGAGAAGAAAAATGACTAAGTATCCATATGATTACCTCTTCCTGACAGAATTTGAGAGCAATAATTTGGGGAGTCAATTGTTGATTGTTTTTATTGATTTTCTGCTCTATGTAATTATTAAAAAAACATTTGATTAGTGTGGCTAAAAATGAAAGATGTATCAAGATATTTGGGATGAAAAATGAGCAAGCATTCATTTAAATACCTCTACCTGACACAGTTTTAGAGCAGTGATTTGTGGTGTCAATTGTAGATAGCTTTCACTGAATATGTGGTCTATGGAAATTTTCAAAAATATTTATGAAAGATATTGCCTCTAATTTAATTGACAATGCTCAAAATTGTATTACAAGTCTTGACCAAAGTTTAAATGTCTTCAAATCATTTTTAAAAGTACAAATGTATTTTGATTTAATAAGTCAATACCAATAATCAGTGAGATGGTCAGGATTAAACCGTGAGTACTGGATTAACTGGAGAACAATGTAAAATAATAGAATCCATCCAGTCAAGGGTACTTAGGATCATTTTCCCTGAATTAACTTATGTTGATGCTCTAGCAAAACCAAAACTAATAACATTAAAAGAGTGCAGAGTTGAATTCTGCAAATCATTCTTTGCAAAAATACAAAATGACACAGACAAGCTGAACTACCTTTTAACCTGCAATCCACACAGGAGACTAAGAAATAGCCTGTCAAAGTTTAACATACCAAAAATTAGAACTGAACGTTTTAAAAACACTTTTATTCCTTTCTCTTTATTAAACCATTAGTGGTCTAAGTTTTACTTTTGAAACTCATTTTGGCCTTTATTGTATTTAATTATCATTACTCCATCCTCTTTTACACTAACTTTCAGATGGGTGTGCAAAAATTTATTTTATTCATTTATTTTAATTTATCCTTTTTTTATCTCATTAAGTTCTATTTGCATATCCTATATTATACCTGTATATCATTATTTTAATTTGTTAATTTTATTCTCACTCCATTTTATGTATAACTTCAACCTTTTGGTTGCCATGTTTTAATAAACTTATTTACATATATATACTGCCAGCAGTCATGCTGGTGGCACTAGTAAAAAAAAAAGATTTAGGTTTTATCTATTAACATCTGCACCCAATATCTATATTTAAGCTTGTGAGGTGCAAAGACTATTTCAAAGTCACTTGAAAAATTGTCCAGAAAAAGTTCTGGGTCTGCCCTTGATGTCACTGTACATGTATTTCATGACAAGTTCAGAGAGAAATGGCAAGTGTCTGACATTAATTGAGACAGAAAAAAAAACTTTTACACAATGCATAACAGAATCTGTCATAGAGAACTCATTGAAAATAATCACACTGTTACCTTAACCAATCAAAATATAGGGTTTGTATACCGTTATTGATACGTAAATACATAACAATACTCACAAATCTAAGAGAATCTCTGCCAACACTTCATGTTTTATTTGTAGCTCCTTCCTCAGAGCATTCCATCTCTCTATTTGCCTGCCAATATGAACCGTCTCTCTGCTCCTTTGTCTGTCTTTTTCTAACTTTCTGGCCTTTTGAACTTCAATGGGAACAAGCTTTCGTCTGTTTCTTTTTTGTTTGGGCTTCACAGGTCTGTCACTGTGAGGGCTGACTAACTGATTAACCTGCAAGACAATATGACCCCTTGCTTCAATTTTCACAGGAGATATTTTTCATATGGTCACACTAAAATGAGCCATACAGCACAATACACTAGACAAAATGACTCTAGACGTGAGTAAACTTAAATTAAACACAGGAAAAAATTATTTGCAAGAAGTGAGGGTGATACAAAAGCAACATATATTGTTAGGTTATTAATACTGTGGATTCAACTTGAAAAAATATCAGCACGTTTAGGCCATTCATTTCTGTCAATTAAGGCATCTGCCATTTCCCCCAGCCACTAGCAGAAAGTTGCCAATATGGCTGACAATCTGACAATAAATATATCATACCAATTTGTTAGATTGGATCAACAATTTTAAAGGGACATTTCATGGGATTTTCCAGCCAAAATGAATTTTCCTGGGGTGGAGAGCAAGGTAAACTTTAAAAAAATATTTAAAAGGATAATTGTATGTCTTTAGAGTCTGAATTGGAACATATAAAAAGCTTTACAGGACGTACAGTACATACTGTTGTTGTGGATTTTCAAACCTGCTAAGAGAACTTCATTTTGGTGAGAAATTACAAGTGGCCCTTTAATTACCTAGAAATATGTTTATGTTGAGCTGTAATGCACATTTTTAGTGTTACCCATTTTTAAATGAGAAGAAAAAGACAGGTGATATTTATACCCCAGTAGCATATGTGGTTAGCATACCAAGAACAATATATCAATAAATGCAAATGCATTATCTTCTTTATATGACTGTATGGACTTTTCAGGCAAAAAAACAAACAAACAAATAAATGAGTTCTTTAAAGTTAAAAAAAGGAAGAAAGTGCCTATTAGAACAGCATTTACTCCAGTATCTTTAGACTAGTAAACAAATTGTCAAGGTAGAACTAAACTGCAGTTGCAGGAGTTTTTTTTTTTTTTTTTTTTTTTTATGTATAATCTAAGTTTTTTATCCTTACTTGAGGCCCATCCATTTTCTTCCCGCTGACTTTACAAATGAGGACTGAAAAAGAACAAACCAAAGGTATAATTTAATTGAAATCCAGTTTCCCACCCTATTTATGATATTCAGTGTGTGTGTGTGAGAGAAAGAGAGAGAGAGAGAAAGAGAGAGAGAGAGAGAGAGATTGTTTCTTTCCATACTGAGATTAACACCGTAGCAATTAGTCCATCACAGGCCCGAAGGTTCGATAGTCTGAATTTATGCGTGAATAACGTGTTTAGTGTACTGGAAATAAAGTAAGGTTCAATAGAGGCGCGTGCATACAATTTTTCGGACCATTGAACCTTTGGATTATGGAGACACTTTCGTTTTTTACACACCTGGGGCAACTTACCCTGCCTACTTTGATTGTAACTCGAAAACAGACACTAATACTGCGCCGATACTAAGAAAAATTACCGGAAGTATGATACAGGCACAAACCAAAACATAAATAAATCATGTATAAATATGTTGCTTATAGTAGTTTGTGCTGTTTTATCTTTGCAAGATAACTATTTCGGTGTGCAAGCATTACCAGTCGATATGACGTCTCCCCAAGTGACTGATCTATCGTGGGGGAGGATGAAAGTAGACGGGAAAGTGTACAAAGACTGCAAGGTAAATTCCCTCTTACTACACTAACTACTGAAGTAGTATGCAGGCAGCCCAGTGCCTGTGAGTTGCGTCAGTGTGCAGACATATTAACGATATGTACGTGTATATAGTGGCGTGCCATTTTGCACAATCCCAGTGCGATTCATCAAGATTAAAACAGCAAATGCAAGACTTTGAAGTCCAATGAAATGTCCCTCTGACTTAAAACTTACTACTTGTAATAGTGATAACAATGTTGAAAAATTAATAATTGTAAGAAAAATGAAATGAATGAATAAATAATGAAAACTGTTTTGATAGGAAGTGAGAAAGCAGAATGTTTATTTTTATTCTTAATTAATTCAGCATTAGTTAAGGCTGTGATTGCAGTGGAAAAGCTTAATTACTATAGTACAATATGTTTTTACACATAACTGTATTTCCCAATGGTTTTCAAAGCCTAACCATGTTAACTGTAGAATTCTGACAATGTATGTGTCAGCAGATGGGTTTCCAGTATTGAGATGTTTGTATTACTGTGTTGTCCAGGTGTGGCCAGGAGGCAGCAGAGAGTGGGACTGGAGAGAGACGGGGACGGGGCACAACCCTGGTGTTCAGCCTGCTGATCTGGAGGAACTGTTAAAGAGAGGTATGTACAGCATCATGCTACAATCCCTCCAACCCCACCTCTTAGAGACCCAGCTCATGAAATACTAGGCAGTTCATAACTGGAGTTTATATAAGTGATAACAGTATACAAATCTTGATCAAGCTTGCAGATATTTTAATATCAATACAAAAATTGTCAACATAAACTCAGTCAACCAGCAGGACATATGTGACAAGCTATTGGGTCAGGAGTTTGAAACTAAGACTTTGAAGTATAATTACTCTCTGAATTCATTTAAAGGTACATACGAACCGAGCATTGGTGGAGTGTGGATTCGGAGTAACACATGTAAACCACTTCTACTAGATTCTTAAATGACTCAAATAAATTCGACATGCCAAGGGATAAACTTAATAGATCACTCGATCAGCCATAAAAGACCTTTAGACTGCTCCTTTCTTTAAATTTATGGTTGTAAATTTAACCTACTTCCGTGACCTACTCTCCTGCCCCATTGACATACAGCTAAGAATGCCAGCAGAAAAATCTGTTCAAACATCATTTTCGGGTAAAACTAAACAATGCCTTTTGGTAATTCTCTTAGTAATACTACTTGAAACTATATGCTGGTATTTGGTTGGTTTTTGTGACAAAAAATTGACTTTGTATGCATCTTTAAACAAAACTGAATTTTTTGTTTTCCAAAACAACATTCCGTTTTGGGGAAATATTATTTTTAATTTGTATGATGTAAATTGAGTTCAAGTCACAAAGTATGATTTTTAATGCTATAATTAGAACGATAATCTTGAAAAAATAGTTTTTAAGGGAATAAGTGAAATGTCTGTTATTTACATATTTACTACAGTCTGGTGGCACAAAATATTGTACATGTGCAGATATAACATGATGTATCTAATTGTTTGTTGATTGTACACTTTGTTCCAGGTGCAGATACCATTGTGATCAGCCGAGGTATGCAGAGTGTGCTGCAGGTCCCCCAGACTACTGTAGACTATGTGAAGAACAACCATGCCAACGTCATAGTGCGGCCTACCGAGGAGGCAGTGAAGGAATACAACCGTATGGCAGCAGCTGGAAAACGTGTTGGTGCAGTGTTCCATTCTACCTGTTGATACCATAACAGAAATCATGCTTGAAAAAATGTGGTTCTTGTTTATTGGAAAGATTTACTGTTAAATGCTTTTAAATGTCGTTTTTAAATGAACGGTGAAAAAAAGCATGCACAGGTACATACAGTGAGGAAAATCTCTGCAAAAGTATTTCAGAACCATTGTAAGTTTTTTTTAGAGACACACAATTTTAGTTTTGTTAAAACGTAATAAGATTGATTGTTCATTGTTCACAGAAATTTCCCTTAAACTATTGTTCTTTCATCTCACAAATGATTTCATTGTAGCATTTTTTAAAATGAAAATTTAATTTTCGGTTTTAAGGTTTTTTCAAATTACTAGAATTAATAATCAGTACAGCACTTACATTTATTAATAATAAGCAATGTATCAAGAAAGACTTTTTGGTGATCAAAACATTAGAGCAGAAGGTTTACTCAAATATCCAAAGCACCAGATTGTTCTTTGTGTTCTTTAATATTCCCTGTAAATTTCAGTATTATATAACTGTGACAGTTATTGAACATATTATGCTTCACATCCCAAACTGGTGTTGAACAAACAGACCTTAGTCTGGCCCTGGTTGTCTGCAGGCATTTGGTTTAAATTGCATCCTGTATTTGTCAACTGCACTTAGTATTTCACTGGCAGGATTGTTTCAGATGAAAAGTTTTCAACTTTTTTTTATAATTTAATATAGTTCTCTGATACTGAACTTTATTAAAACATCTAGTAAAAATAAAAACTTGTAATATTTGATGTGTGCAGTACATTTTAGGTAAATTGCTATCTCAAAAAGTTCATGTTACTAGGTTATTTTTATTTAAGGGAAATTATGATAAAATTTGTGATTACCTAGGCTAAATCATTCAAATGATAATTTTCTGTACGTGCTGTTATGGACTGCTGTTTTGATATGCAAATTGAACTATTCCACCCAATAAAAAGGATGTTTGAGGAACATTTATTTTAAAATTATTTTTCTCTGAGTTAATTTGATTGGTGAATCAATTACCATAATCGATAATCTACAATGAAAAATATTGTGCTTAGAAAGAAAATAAACCTGCACTTTCAGTCCTTTTCACATTGTATGGTGCTTTTTTTTACACCCTTTGGATCTCCAGTGTGCTAATGATATAGGGAAGTGGTTGAGTGCGGCCAACTTCCTTTCACAAGTTTGCTTCCAACTGTTGAACCATTCAAAATTAATTGGCCATTTAGATGACCCTCTTATGTCAAAGGTGCCTCAGTCTGTAAATGTGATTGCATTCAGTAAGAGTCCCTGTGGAGTATCTAGGGCAATCCTTAGGCAAGTGAACGAGGGCTTGTATAAGCAAAACACATTGACAAGATCTGTGTAGTAAACATGATATTGATTATTACATGAAACAGAAACGGTATATGATAGCTCACATGTAAATTACCAAGGTAACAGGATTCCCATTTAGAGGCTAGTAATTCTCTGATGAACTTCAAAAATTAGAAATTTGGAACTCAAAAACAGGTATACAAGATAATGATTTTCTCAATACCTGAATATTCTCAATTACTGAATATGTACTGTCCATGCAAGAACTCAAAAACAAGTATACAAGATAATGATTTTCTCAATTATGAATACCTGAATATTCTCAATTACCGAATATGCACTGTCCATGCAAGAACTCAAAAACAAGTGTACAAGATAATGATTTTCTCAATTATGAATACCTGAATATTCTCAATTACCGAATATGCACTGTCCATGCAAGAACTGGTGATCTGGTGGAAGTCTTGTACAAAGAGTTAACAAACAAGAAACTTAAAACACCAACTTTTGCTCCTAACTACCAAACTAGTTCACCACTCAACCCTTCAGTAATCAACTCTTGTTTTCAAACACTCCAAATTATCTAGTAGTTCATTGGAAATGACAATCGTGAACTAGTCTAACTTCCATTCCATCAGTTTCAAGTCAGCATGCACATGCCTGCACAACTGTTGATGTTGTTCATTTTCTTGCCCTACTGTTTCAAAGTTATACGTATACCTACTTAAAAAGCATTCAAAATCATTTCAGTTATGAAAGTAAAAAATAAAACAGGATGCGAACATAAGCAGGGTACCTCCAACTTATTTTTTTTTTTTCACCAGTCTAAGTTATTTCATATATCAATTTTTACATTCCGTAATATTGATACATTGTACGTTCAACTGACCCTGGTTGTCCAAGTGAAAGTTGTGTATTTTCATGAGTCATTCTGTCCAGGGGCATCACCTGTCCTACTGCAGAGTGACCATTGCCATGTGTCATTCTGTCCAGTGTCATGAACTGCCCAGCAGAAGGTCCACTCAGACCAGGTCGCTGGGGCATTCTTTCAGCCAATGGCAGTTCTCCTACTTGAGTGCAATTATTTTCCTGCATCATGGACTCGGCAGACACAGTCTGCCCTGCTGATGCGCAAGATTTTCTTTGGGCAGCTTTCTCCTTGGTCGCCATCTGACCAGTTGCAGTATGTGTTTTTTCATGTGACTTACGACTCACGTTGTGTGAAAAGCCTTGGCTACAGAAGCGACACTTGTATGGTTTAACTCCTGTGTGAACCCTCTCATGGCTGACACATGCACCTTTCTGCACAAAAGTTTTCTCACAATAACCGCACTTAAATGGTTTCTCTCCAGTGTGAATTAATTCATGTCGTCTACATTGTCTTTTAAGAGTGAATCCCTTGAAGCAGATCTTGCAGTGATGGGGTTTTTCACCACTGTGAGTCTTTTCATGAAAATATCGTACATTTAATGTTGCAAATGTCTTTTCACAGTATCGACATTTATATGGTCGTTCTCCTGTGTGACTCCTTTCATGTTGTTGACAGCGAATTTTTTGTGCAAAGCCCTTACCACAATGCTGGCAAACAAAGGGATTCTCTCCAGTGTGCGTCCTCTCATGCACCACCAAGCAATCCTTGTTTTTATACGTTTTTATACAATACTGACATTGGAATAAATCTTTAACTCTGTGACTTCTCTGATGATGTCGCAAATGTCCGATGAGCTGGAAACACCTCCCACAAGTTTCACAGGTGAAGGGTTTCTCTACCTCTTTCTCTACAACTTCACTTTGTTTGTGTTCCCTTTCATGTTTCACACACATGAAGTACTGCTTAAATAATTTCCCACAAAACTGACAAACATGTGCCACTTCTTTCTTATGTTCATGATTCTTCAACTCTTCTTTAGTAGTGAAATAACATCCACAAACCTTGCACTGAAGATTTCCATCATTCTTGTGAGTTTTTTTATGACGTGCAAAGGATGACCTAGGAATTTGTTTACCACAGAATTCACATTTATAAGTGCCTGGTTCATAATCATCATCTCCAGGTTCATAAACATCATCATCATCATCATCTTCTTGTTCATTATCACTTTCATCACTTGATGTCTCAGAATCATCATCATCAGCTAACTCAGCGTCATCATTGTTAAATTCTTCCAAGTCAGAAACTTTACCATCATCAAATGACTGACATTGATTTAAACTGCTAAACCCCACTTTGTCCTTTTCACCTTTTATTTCTGTTGTTTTTCCTTCAGTTTTTCCTCCAAGGTTCAAAAAGGCTCCAGGAGTGTTTGCCATGGGGAGTTTTTCATCACTATATCCAAATACATATGATTTGTCCTCTGCTTTGGTTTGACTTTTAAGGTTGTCAAGTTCTGAGGCTTGCTTCCCTCCTGAGTGCACACTTGAAACTGAGTTCAGTCTACGGGGTGATGCATTTTTTCTCCTCCTTGATGGCTGTTTTGAACTATAAACACAAAAACAACAAACACTAAATTATTCTAGATATCATTACCATCTCACAAATTACATCTTACTTTGGTTCAATATCCTCAGCTAATTAATGACTTCCTTACATTTTACATGGTGCATGTACTTCAAAACAAAAGAAATTTGCATTTGAAAGACACATTTGAAACCCCTTGTTAGAAAACAAATATCTTTGCAAAATCATTTCTTACTTGAGCAAATCATCTGCGCAATCAGCCTCTGTATTTTGTTGGGACACAAGTTTTACATATTTGTGGTATCTAAAACATGACAAGCAACAGTTAAGACAACACCAGTCAACATCCTCAATATGTTGTTTGTAATAAAATGACATTAATAAATATGAAATTTATTAGAATTATTAGACAAAAAAACTTGTACATGTTTAAACTGGTTGATTAATACAAGGATTATGAGTAGTTGTATCTTACAGGGATGGTGTGTAAAATTCTTACGTGTCGATGAGATGTTTGGCCAGATGTTCGTTTGATTTGGGTTGCAGTTCCTCTTTCAAAGCTTCCCATCTTTCCACCTGTTTGCCAAGAAATATTGTCCTCCTGTGCCTTTCCTTGTTTGCTATTTTCTTCTTCTCCTTCTGCTCCTCTAGGGTAAATACACTGGCCCTCCCTCTTCTCGGTTTCTTCACAGGTCTTTCGCAAATGTTGTTTGGGATGGTTTCCTTAAATGAAAATGTAACAGAGAAATAAAACATAACATTTTTCAACCTATTTTGAAAAACAAATTTGAAAAAAATAAGTGCAATTATTAAACTAGTTTGTAGGACATTGTCTCTAAATATGGGGCTACATGATAACAAAATAAGACAAAATACAACAGTACTGGGAACGGTCACTTGGAGAGGGATTTACTAGTGGGTCACATGTACTAATAAAACTAATAACATTTGTGATACAACATTACAAGTGATTTAACTAAGAGTGCAGATTTCTTGAGTACAAACAATAACTATTAAGTACATAAAATGACAGTTCACGGTTTGCTTATCACACTATAAGACTAAATAAGTGAATGACCAAAATGAAAATGCTAAATGAAATGGTATGAATGAATTCAAAAACTAAACATATATTCCAAGAGCTACTAGTATCTCTGAGAAAAGATTGGAAAACATCACCAGGAAGTGCTGGATCAGAGCAATCATCCTACATGACTGCCTCCTACCTGGGCCTCTAGGACACCTATGGGGTCCACTACTGGCTTGACATCCTCTTCTTCACTGTAATTACTGATATCTTCTTTAAACTGGTCCATCTCTCTCATTCCACAGTAGATATGCAAGTGTTTGGTCTCACAAAGAAAATAAAAAATTAATTGCAGTATTCTTCAATACAAATAACAGCAGTGTTACAAACAACCAATACAGTGTTACAAACAATGATCCCTCCTCTTGCAAGCATGTCTGTTGACCATGACCATGATGTCAGCATATTTGTGCCAAATTCATTATATAACTTTACACCAATGGTGATCACAAAGTTCACTGTAAAGCAACAAAATACTCTCTTGCCTTCAATGTCATTATTGCAGAATTGGGTACTTTTGCTGTATCCTCCAACCCTGTAATTCTCTTATTTTAAAAAATTATTAAAATTATTATTTATATGGTGACTTTGATCAATGTCTCATCTACTCAATTAAAATTATTTGGAAATTAACTTAATTTCATCTTTTTATGTTAAACCTTCAAGCTCTGACGAATAAGATAATAGTAAATTTCCACCTAAGTAATACCCTCTGCTCTCAAAATATTTGGATTGCATAATGTTTCATTAAAAAAAAACAATATACAAATGAATTTCCAAGGTGTTTTAAGCAATGACATTGCTAACAGTCACAATTAATAAAAATAAATAATAAAGAAAAGATATTGAAAACCAAAGAGTTGCTTGGCCCACAGCTGAAATTGGATCACCTTTTTCATTGACAAAATCACACATTATTACTATACTGAAGCTTGGCCTGAACTGACAGCAATTGTTATTGCACTCTGCATAACTGATATACGTTCTTTACACATGAATATTACATACTATTTGGTGCACATAACTATGAAAGGACAAGCAGTTAGCACATCCACTGCAAAAAGGTAAAATTATGACGCAATATGTTCCAATCACCAGAAAGCGGGGTTTGTAGAATCGATTGTGAAAGAATTTCAATTTGCAATGCTTCCCTTCACTTTGGTCTTTTTACAGATCTTGCATTCTGGGACGTCTTCCTCGTGAATAACTATGCAAAAAGCGTAAGCTAAGCACAAATGTTCCCTGTGAAATTAAAACATCACGTGTTTATAATTTATTTCTTACCTCCTCAAGTTCAGGAATACACTGAACTGAACTGTGGCCTTGTCAGTGATGACACGGGAATCAACTCGTCTCCGATAGTGCATTCGTATTTTTAAAAAGCGCAGAATCACTTATAGCACAGCTATCACAATGAAAGACATCAGGGATAGTGAGGTTTGCCTGGAACTTTGTAACTGTAAAGTTTTGTGAAAACAATTCACAAAAACCAATCTCTGAGTATTTAATCACTACAAAAACTTCAAGTTGCAACTTGGTACACTTATACTAGGATATATACATGTAAAGGTAACAACTGAAAAAAAAGGCAGCAAAGCCATCATACATACCAGCAAGCACATCTGTCAAATGCCACAAAAGTGCAATTTTTAAAAATAAACCAAATATCAAAATTATTGACAAAGCCCGCCAGTGTTTACTGTTTAGTTGACTTGATATAACTTCTTTTCTGGTGTTTGAAAAGGTACATTTTCATAAAAGCTTTAAAATTTTATAGCTCTTGAGAATGAAGTTCCATTTACTGTCTTTATGTAAAAAAATCAATTTTTCACAAAATAACATCATAACTTTAAGAATAATGATCTGATCAGTCTGTTTATTAACTCAAGCAGCATTTAATCACATGAATCATTTCTGAAAGTTTGAAAAAAAATAATTTTTTTTTTTTTTTTTGGTCAAGTTTATGATGAAAAGTAAACAGGGAGGACAGTGCCTCCAGAGGCAGGTGATGGCTACACAATGAGCTACACATGTATCCATAAAAATCAACTTAGCCTCAGACCCACTTTTAGAGTGAATTTTTGAACTGTGTGTTCTTTCCTGTCTGCAGTTAACAATAATTTGATCAGGCTGGTTTTTGAATTCAAACTGTATTTAGTCATATGATGATGATGATGATGATGTTTTTATTATCACCATGTTTTCTATTATTACCCGTATGTAAAACAGGAAAAAACTACGCTGACAGAGGCAGGTGATGGCTATATGTAGAGACACATGGATCTGTTAGTAAAAAATAACTAAGTCTCAGAACTACACTAAGAGTAAGTTCTGTGAGCTGTGTTTTTTTTCATGCAGTCTGCGGTTGACATTGTGTGAAAAGGCCTTTTCACAGTACCGACACTTGTATGGTCTCTCTCCAGTGTGAACTCGCTCGTGGCTTTTGCGCTTATTCTTTTGCTTAAATGATTTTTCACAAAACTGACACTTGTATGGTTTTACTCCTGTGTGAATCCTCTCATGGACTTTCACATCACATCTATTTCTGAATGCTTTCTGGCAGAACTGACACTTATATGGTTTTTCTCCAGTGTGAATAGTCTCATGTTCTGCTTTACTTGACCTGGAATTAAATATCTTGCCACAAAAGTAACACAAGTAAACCTTTTCATTTGTGTGAATGTTTTCATGTCTCACTTTACTCCTAGCCATGTAAAATGACTTATCACAGAACTGACATTTGTAAGGTCTTTCCCCTGTATGAATTCTCTCGTGCTCTTCACAGGCCAAGTTTGTTGCAAATGTATGACCACAATACATACACATAAAGTCTCGCTTTTCTGTTCGTGTTTTTTTCAGTTTAGTGATCACTTTTTGATTTATATGTTTTTGTTCATGTTTAACACACGACTTGTATGATTTGTAGACAATTCCACAGAATTGACAGAAATGCTGTGTCTTTTTCTTATCTTTCACTTTATCTTTCTTATTTTGTTTCATCTTCTTAATAATATCCTCTATGTTTAGTATCCCATCATGTATGTTTTTTTTACTTTCCCTTAATGAATCCTTTGAAACACCTTGGAATGGGACATTTTCACCAGGATTGTATATCTCATCATCATTTTCATTCTTCTTGGTTTTTATATAGATATATACCCCCTTCACATCTGCATGGAGACTTGTCCTCCTTCCAGCATTGGATTCTCTCTCATCATCCTTTTCCACACATAACTCATTGGCAGAAATGCTTTTCGTACCCGTGGGTTTGTTTTTTATATCCTCATCATCCGCATGGAGAACAGGCCAGTTGTCCTCTTTATCCTCATCAAAACATTCTTCATTATCAGAATTGTTATCTGCAATATCAGCTACACCAATGTTTACATTCTGGTTGTGTGCTTTTGTTTTATTCTGGATTGACTGCTGCTTCCCCCAGGTGGTAGCCATGTCTTGACCAGTGACATCACCTAAAAGTGACTCATCCTCTTCTCTGAAACCAAGATCTTCTCTTTCACATCTGCAAGAACACACATGGTAGCTGGAATGATAAGAGCCATATATCAGTTTAACCAAGACATTTTGCCATTTCCATTTCCCATTTCCATTTTCCCCAACTGAGGGAGGACAAACCAAGGGTCAGGAGCACACACATATGCTGCTATTACAACCATTATTAATAGTATTTTGTAGAGTTGCACCATTTCATACAAATAGCGATCAAGCTAAAAAGTGCATGTCCACCAAGTGGGCACTCTACACTGATGACTCTTTTTTTTTTT